GCTGCTCATGGCCACGCCCCCCCACACCTGGGGCGGAGCAGCTCATGGCCACACCCCCAGGCTGCATGGGATCAAGGGTGCTCATGGCCACACCCCCCCACACACCTGGGGGCGGGGCTTCTCATGGCCACGCCCCACACACCTGGGGGCGGGGCCACACATTGCCATGCCCCTTAAGCAGCCACACACACGCAGGAGCCTCCCCCCCCTCAATTGGCCGCCCGCCCCGAGCCCCACCCCCAGGGGCGGAGCCCGCAGGCAGCAGCGCCACTCTGATTGGCTGCCCGCGCGGGGGCGGAGCCTGCAGGTGGGCGCTGGGGGGGTGTACCTGGCAGAGCTGGGGGCGGTCGCCCCAGGACCTGCAGAGCAGGGTGCAGATGCGCAGCGCCACGGGCGGCCTCTCCGCGCTGCTGCCTGCGGCGAGAGGCGCCAGGGCAAGGGCAGGCGGGGCGCTGGGTGCTCCGGCGGGGTCCCAAGAAGCCGCCCTCAACGTGGACACCCCTCCATGCCCGCCCAGCCATGGGAGGCCAGGATGGAGGTGGCACGCGGCGCTTACCCGYGGGGCTGGCGGGCACCGGCAGGTTGGCCGTGGGCACCAGGGCCTCCAGCAGGACGCTGTCCTCCCCCTGCAGCCTCTGGAGCTGGGCCCGCACGGCCTCCTCCACCGCGGCCGCGTCCGCCTTGGCGTGGACGCTGCGGGCGCCAGAGCCGCGCCAGCGCCACCCCGCCGGCCGCACCATCACCTGCGCACGGCACCGCGTCACCCCGGTGCCCACAGCCGCGTCACCCCAACACCCGCCCCGCCGGCTGTGCACGGCACCCAGTGCCCACAGCCTGCCACCCCAACACCCGCACCGCCGGCTGTGCACGGCACCCAGTGCCCACAGCTTGCCACCCCAACACCCGCACCGCCGGCTGCACACAGCACCCAGTGCCCACAGCTTGCCATGCCGACACCTGCACCGCCGGCTGTGCACAGCACCGCGTCACCCCAATGCCCATGGCCCATCACCCCAACACCCATGCCCATGTCACCCCGACACCTGCGCGTCGTTCCAACCGCCTGCGCCCCGGTGCCCACCTGCGCGTAGGGGGCCACGTCGGGGCGCGCC